GCTCTCCTACTGGGCTCGCCGGGGTCGTGGTTCGCGCTGATAGGCTGCGGCGCCCACCGCCCCGCCCCGCCTCTGATAGGATAACGTGGAAGCACGAGACAAGGCTGCGTCCGCCGGTCGCCGAGCTGTCAGCGAGCTCCAAACGGCCGCCGCGGGCCGGAGGGAGTCGGTGTGGCGGCCGCCGAACCCGCATGCGCAGGCCGCGGAAGCCCTTGGGGGCCGGTCCCGGCGCGCCGGCTTGGCGAGTGGGACGGCTTGAGCGATCCGAGGTGGCCCGGTGTGGTGTCTGCAGAGGAAGGTGTCGCCGCCGCTTCCGGACTGGGAAGGCCGCGCGCGGCCCCGGGAAGTCGGAGGGAGGCTTGAGTTCGCCCGGAATTGAGATCTCGGAAGGAGCCATAGACAGCGCCTCCCGCCGAGCGTCCAGCAGCGGATACCAGCAAGAAGCCGTCGGGAGAAGCTGGGGCTCGGTTGAGGAGGGTGATCTGGTGGAGGTTAAAGCTTTGCAGCGACAAGCGCAGAGGAGCACGTAATTGACTAAGGCAGGTAAGTAACCGTGGCTTGGAAGCTTGGGATCCGCCTCCCCGCGCCTGTCCAGCGGACCCGCGTGTCCAGAAAAAAAGAGCGACTCTGGAAGACCCCGTGGAAGAAGAGAGACCAGAGAGGCACCGTGGCTTAAGAGGGCAGGGGGTTCTTAGAGTGCAGCCAACGTCAACTGTAAGAAGAAAAGAGGGCTGTCAGAACGGATCTTGCATCTTGTGCTCGCAGAGGAAATTCAAGAGAGACGTGAACTTGAACAAGATAACTTCAGGTCGCTGGGTGTTGGCATGAAGCTTGTTCGGGGCCATTCCTTCTGGCGTCCCCAGCACACACGCTGTAGCCCATTGGTGGTGTACGTGGGGTACAACAATGCTTTTTTTGTTTACCAACTACTGTTAGGTGCATACTTATCACTTTTACGTGAGTCTTTGGTACCTTGATACTACTTTAGTAGAACTCATGAATTAAGGGTAGTATAGTGAATTTGGGATGCCCTGAAGGTACCCCAAGGAGCACAAAAAGAAAAAGTCTTCCTTCTATTCCAAAGGGAACTGATATGAAGGAAATAAATTCGAGAAAGGGGGGGAAAAGTCCCTGATTAGTTGTAATCAATTATAATATAATGTAAGATAGTGTAATGTGAAGAACGATTCGGAAATCGTTCAGATCCAGGAAACACCATAACTGTTTTATGTACATTATCTCCATCTGTAAAGTGAGTATGATCCTGAGAGCCTCAAAGGTTTGTTTTGAGGTTTCATGAAGCAGAGGTACTTGTAGATTGCAGAGTGTTTCACCAGTGTTACTCATTGTTCTGACGAACAAAATAATGAAGGGATTTTTTTCAGAAATTCTTTGAGGGTTTGCTGTTGTTGTTTTTGCTTGCCTTATCTCTTGACATCACAAAGCAGCGAATGAAAAAATGGCAGATAACTTTAGTGTCTACAGTGTGCTCGGAAGACATCGTGCAAATGACGTGTTGTGGCCAAGGCCTATAAACAGAGAATGAGAATACATGAGGCGGAAGGTTCACCTGAGCCCAGCAGGTCGAGGCTGCGGTGGTGGTGAGCATGCCACTGCACTTCTGCCTTGGTGACAGTGAGACGACGACTCAAAAAAAAATTTTATATATTTTTATATATATATATGTATATATGTGTATATATGTATACACACACAAAGTGAAAAAATAATTTTGTAAGGATTTAACGTTACACAGTACCCCTAGACGATTAATCTTCACCAAAGTGCTGCCTATGACTCTGGTCTTAAAAGTCTGAAGACGTTCTAAGTTCTGAAGAAGTTCTAAGGGTGGAAATGGAAAGTTATTAAGATTATAGACACTGTGTTATAGAAAATAATAATAAGTTTTCA